ATGTAAGCGTTTTAGCTGTGATGTTTCAAAATTTTCGTAAGCAATAGATTATTGTAATAGTCTATTCAGTCATTTTAATATTTTACAAGATAAAATGTCTAATAGATAAAATTTATTTTGGCTCAATGCTTTATTTCAATGACTAATATATTTAGTTACCGATATGTAACAATTATAGAGGATGTTTAGCGGTAAGCTTAATGGGGCAAAATTAGTTGATTTGACTAATATTAGTTAATTGACCTCTACAATAAGGTAATTGGGGTGTTTGATGGTCATTTGATTTGAAGAGTTGATTCCACCCAATAAGCTTATTTTCAATAAGATGTTTGAAAGAGCTTTTAACGAGTTTATTCAAGTAATTTAAGATGAAATGCCAATCATACCCCTATTTAATAATACTTTGCATCATCTAGTTTATCGCGTTAACATAGAATCAATCAATAACTTAATACTAAAGCAGACACCGGGAGTTACACGTGTTACATCCTGGTACTGCTTTTTCCCTCCAAACCCCCTTATATTTTTCACCAAAATCTTTTTTTTTTTAATATTTGATACAACTATAGTACTATATTATTTTAAATCTTTTATATTATCTTTACGACAAATATTTTCCCTTTTATTTGATGCACATACTTCTTCCATACACATTTACCTAAAATATTATTCCAACGCCTTTTTAATTATTTTTTAAACGGAGTATTATTAGATTTTGCCAAAAAAAGTAATAATAAAATTGATTCATATAATTGATATTAAGGATATTATTTCAACGCATCACTTATTTTTTTTTTTTTCAAGTACCTCAAATTATTTCAATTTAAATATTAACTACACATTCAAATTAATTACAATTGTATTTCCGAGAATCTGTAACAATATACTAAAAAAGGTGAATAAAAATGACACGTGTCATCTCTTGATTAAAATTTTTCCCGCCTATAATTCCTTTCTATTTTTGATTTTTTTTTATTTGTTTGTTTTAATGTCAAATCTTCATCACGGCATAACCTATAATATTTTATTTTTTTTCATGTTGCAAGATACGATATTAGATTATTATCCAAGATTACTATATATTATAATTCTTTTATTTGGCAATAAAGTTTATTTCAATTAAATGAAAATAATTTTAGTAACAAATTATATAAATGTATAAATATAATTTATTTTCTAATCAGTGTCAACAAAAATTTGCAAAAATTTTCAACCATTTTTAATTTCAAATAAAAATTTAATAATACAATATTTAATCTTAACTAATCAATAAACATATATAATTTCTCCAACAATACTAATCTTAATTTAAAAAAAAAAAACTGCTACAAATAATAGTTACTGAGTAGCAGGGTTTTTTTTTTTTATAAAATTGATTATCATAAAGTAAAATAAAATCAAATAAATTTTTATAAATCGTTGAGCCGGTGAAGCTTATCAACAATACGAAGGGTATAACTATATATGAGTATATCGTACTTCGGGGACTTATCTAAAATTTTCATTTTGTATAAGAAGTAGTATAAAACCTCAAAATCCATAAATTTCTTTCATTTTTTATTTATAAAATGTTACAGAGTATACATGCATCAATAACCTTAACATCTTTTGTATGGGTATAGTCACAACTCACAAGCTTTTAAAATTCATTTTAAAATACAAGTATTATTTTTTGGGGAATTGTTGTTGAATTAATATTATAATTCATCACAAAAGTTAGTAAAAACCGGGCATGGCACGGGTCTTTTATAATACAATAAAAAAAATAAAATTGTATTTTGGTTGTATTTTAAAATTGGGTAATGTTATATGTATCTTTAAGGGTTATATATAAGCATTAAATAAACTCTTGAAAATTGATAAAATAATTAGGAATTTATAATAAAAACACGCGTAAATCAGTGTAATTAGTGTTTATATTCTTATGATTTCTTAACTTTATACGATTTTGTAGTGTGTATTTAATACCTATATGTATCCCTAAGAGCTATGTACAACATTTTCCTTTAAATTTTTTTAATTTTTTGAAACATTGATTACGATTTTAAGAAATATAGAGTACAATTGATGTTTTAGAATATATACAATCACGCGATTGGCACATTTAATCGTAAAATCTTCATATGCTTTGATTTGAATGTCCATCAAAACGATCTACTTGGCAATTCTCATACAACTTTGGAAATTGATGCAGTAAAGTTTCGAATTGTGAATCATAGCTTGTGATACACTTATTAAGAAAAGAGAGTGATTTTAGCAATGAGTGAATATTCATAAAATCATAATCATGTGTTCATAGAGAGTGATTATTCATAAAATCATAATCATGTGTTTATACTTTATAGGATTGTGGATCTCATTTTGCCCATCAAATAATACTCCGGTTATATATGAATTGGTCGCAACGATTTGACCAACATATGAACATAGGATTTTAGACACTTCACTTGACTTGCTTTATACAAAGTATTTTGTCAAACTAGCCTGGCCACACCTGTTATGAGTGTCCATTTAATACGACTAAGGAGGATCCACTTCAAAACCATATGTCAATGAGGGGAAGTAGCCCCTTAGCCTTATAAAGTGGACACGACTTTCTCTTTTCTTCAATGTGGGATACATATCTCAATATTCCTCTTCACTTTTATACTCTTTCAATGTGGGACAACACTTTCACTTACATGTGGGTTTTCTCATGGGCTGAACATATTTTATTAGATGGTTGTTGATCAGGAGTTGTTTTTAACCCACATTAATTAAATTATGGATTCATGCTTAGTAAGGTATAGAATTATAACTAGTAATTTAGGACGATTTAATAAGCTAAGCAAAGTAATGCAACTACTTTGGAACAGAGAGAACACATACTTTAACCTTAGAGGGATGGTAGGAAAAATAGATCTCTCCCTGTCCCTCTCCCTTCCCTCTATTCCCCGAGACCCCGACCTTGAAATTAAACTTGTTTTCCTTACTTTCCTTTCCCTCCCTTTTTATTTCCATTTCTTCTTTTCAGGCAAATTGTAAAGGTTAGGGAGAAAAATAATTATCATCAGTGCAATCAAAGACTAAGGCGTCACTAGATAAATGCAACCTTCACTTTCAATAAATCTATGACATTGACTTTTTACACTATTTATATTCTAATTTTGACCACTTCTAGTTACTCCGTATTACGGAGTTATATACATACTAAAGGTCAATATAATAATTATTACTCCGTATAAGGTTAATCTCGATGTATATTATCAAAGCAAAACCTAGTGAGTGATATCTCCTGAATTTGTACTACACATGTGATGAGATCTTAATGGTTGTCAATCAATAGCCTACAAAAATGACCAAGATGTTTGGGATCCAACGTCTTGATGGTCAATGGTAGCACGTATGCGAGGTCTCATGTGCATGTAACCCACCTTTAACGCCTTTTGACATCTCCTCCAATCTCCATTACCTCGCAACACCCAGCCTAGGGTTGGCACTTACATTCCATGAAGCTTGTCATTTTTGTTCTCATTTTTTTGGACTCGAGTAATAAAGATACGAAAAACATGGAGTTGAGAGAGTGGTGTAGCCGTGTAGTACGTAAAATTGTTGATGGATGTAAAAAAAATGGTGGATAAAAAATAGAGAGAGAGATTGAAAAGATGTAAATATTGAGAAAAATATGATGTGTTTGCAATAACATTTAAAAAAAAAAAAAAAAAAGGGTAGTAAGTACATCGAATATATAATGCCATCTAAAAAATGAAAGGTAGTTCATCATTAAAAAAAATAAATAAATAAATAAATAAAGGTAATATACGTAGTAATTACTAGTATAATAAAGGGTAATGATATATGTATCACTGCACTTAGGGTTAAGAATACACATTTAATACCTTTTTTAATCTGGTACTCCATTTTAATTTAGGGGGGGGATTTGGGTACATACACGTTTTATATGAGCATCGCACAACAAAAGGGATTTCGATCATTTTTTGTGAAAATTTAAATCAAATTCCAAATTATTAGGATTCCTCATTTTCTTATTTTAAGTGATTATTTCAAAGGGGAATTACAAAGTGAAACGGAGGGCGTATAATTGGAGTCTTAATGGTATTATCAGATACCACATTAGTATCATTAAAATCTACCTAGCTAGTACATAAAACTCTATTTATACTACTAGAAAACATCATGACATATATATGCCATAAGAGGATATTATAATGACACTAGTCCATTACACTATCTAATTGTACTATTTATTTACTTAATGGCATCATATATATAATACAAATTAACAACATACGAAGTACTTCGTATTTAATTTGATCACATGTTTAGTAAAGGAAAATTTGCAAATTGCAGCTATTTAAAACTTGTATTTTGTAACTTGCAGCCATTTAAAAAAAAATTGCAACTCAATTCAATTTTTTCATCGGTTTTCGTGTCGAAAAATGTTCGGTCAAGGTTTTAGCGGCCATTTTAGCCTTAAAGGAACCAAATTGAGATCGGAATTGACAAAAAATTAACGTAAGTGCCTCGTTTTACAGGAAAAAATAGGTGCCCACAAATCGATACATTTTTGTTACGCAAAACAAGGCACTTACGTTATTTTTTTGCCAATTCCGAGCTCAATTCGGAGCCTTGAGGGCTAAAATGGCCCCTAAAACCTTAAAAGAACATTTTTCGACATGCAAACTGATGAAAAAATTGAATTAGGTTGCAATTTACAATTTATAACAACTTTTGGGCTGCAATTTGCAATTTTTTTTTAAATGGCTGCAATTTGCAAATTTTCCTTTAGTAAATGAATAAAACATCAAGGCAAGGAACATAAGGAGTATATCAAATGTGTGATATATAGAGAATTTGGGTACCCAATTCAGGAGGTTTTGATTTTTGAAGAAGCTCACAATTATTTACACAATACTTCAATCAAATGAGAAAGAATGAATTGGAAGAAAGGCTGTCATTTAAGGCTTCACGTTGGCACTGTCCTTGTTAAACCACCAAACTAGTAAAAATGAGTATTAAATTTCATATACAAACACGCTCACTCGTGGGCATGCACCAAGCAATGAGTCGTCTATACATAGAAAAATACTAAAAATGTCTCATTTCTTTTTCTTTCTATCTTAGGTACCATTATTACAAAATAATGAACCAAAACTAAACAAATCTACACCAACTCTAGAAATGTGTGGAGTTGGAAGATTTAACACTGGATTAATCCTCAAATTATTGTTATAATTATTACCATAACCATAATTATTTCTACTATAATTATCCTTTACCTTTCCCTTTTGAGATGATTTACTATTGCATACATTTTGTTGTTGTCGTTGTTTGAGTGATTGTTGCTTCTTCAACTTATTTGGTGCAGAACCAGTTGAATTACTCCGCCTAAACAAACTCGAATCCGATTTCAAAAAATAATGATCACTTGTTGAATGACTTCTCCTTAACATTTCTGTTGACCCAATCAACACTTTGTTATTACTAGTAGAAACATTACCATTATCAGAACAATTACTCAAACTGTTGTTTCTGCTAAATTTCCTCAACAACTTTGAATGAAAATTACTGGGTTTTTCTTCTTCTACTATATTTTCCAAAAATTTACCTGTTGATCCACTCCTAGATAATATTTTCCAAGACCCAATTAACCCTTTTCTCTGATTTCTATCACAGTTCAAACTATTACTTCTCCTGAATTTCCAAAATGATTTCGCCGCTACTGCAGCAGTGTTAACCTCCTCTTCTTCTTCTATACTGTCTTCTAAGAACTCTTTTAAACTCTTTTTCCCCGTATCCGTAATCGTTGCAGACAGGAGATCCGAACAGGATGTTACTGGAACTTTTTGTACAACTGCTTCAGATTTTTTTACCTCTTCTTCCTTTATTAAGCGAGTAGGAATGATTTTTCCATCAGAGAAGAGCTCATCTGCTGACGAAGATTGAAATGTGATACTTGTATCGACATTGAAAGCAAAATCGAAAGCTGAATCGACAAACGAGCGATCCAGCTTACAGGAATAGTCGTTGATGTTGGTACTTGTCTCGTTCTCTTCCAGATCTCGGGAAAATGAAAGTCTGGGACTAATCATGCCAACGAAATTCTCGGAGAATACATCTACTGCCATTGTTGATGAGTATGATATGGGAGAGGGAGAAAGGAATATAAGGGTAGAGAGAGAATGATAATTGATTGAAGAAAGATTAATAATGAGGTTATGTTCTTGAGTTGATTATTATTGAGGCTATTATTGGAGTTGTGCATTTGAAGCATTGGAGGGAATATTAAGGTTGCAAGAGTGAAAACAATCACTATCGAGAAAAAGACATAGGGAAAAAATATTTAATGGTGTAACAGCACAGTTTTCTTTTCATTTTTTGTCCTGATTAATTAAGAAATTAAATTTAAATGAGCCGCCCGTAAATTAAAAAAAAAAGAAAATACTTGCCTCCTACTAGATATATTTTTTGGTTTTGTATATAGTCTACTCTTATTGAAAATATCAAAAAAGAGTAAGGGGGAATGTATATGATTAGGATTTTGGTTGGTGAAATTCGAGTTCTACATGTCATTACATGGTACTGCCTGTTTTGCGTACGGCTGGCCATATATTGTGTGACTAATTGTAATAGAACAAAATAACCTCTATAATGCTAATCGAGTAATTCCTTTAACATTAACCAAATAACCCCTATAACATTGACGAAGTAACCCCTGTAACACTGACCAAGTAACCTTATAACACTAACGAAATAATCTCCATGATGACTGGCCACACGGTGTGGCTAGCCACATACTCCATATAAGAATTTGTATTTATGTAAAAAATATTACAAAATTATATTATGATAGGTTTCCTAACAAAATTTTGATTTTCCATATTGTAAGCTTATATGTTTGATCAATGGATAAGAATGCAACCAAAGAGTTTCACAAAATTTAATACTTGAGTTCTTATAGGTACATAAGTTCAAACACGACAAATTCATAAAAAATTACGTTCAGAAAAGGGTTAAAAATGTTAATAAAATTATCCTACTTAAATTTACAGCTAAAATAATTTCAATTAACTTCAAATAAATTTCGATATGTGAAAATTGGATGAATTGAAGACATCCTTGATCACAAGTGATTAGTGTAAAGCAATTATTTTTGGAAGGGGTAAAAGCTCCTTGCATTACAAGAGTGGGTAAAAATGGAAGATGTAATGATAATTGGCATGAATTAAAGTGAGTAGGAATAGGATTGGTTGCACCGAAAGGCTAGAAAAGAGAGGGAATTTGGTAAGGGAGTAATCTTTTTGTTACTTTCTGCTTTAATTTAACAAAGAAGAGATAAATGCGAGGAATTTACGGTTTCGTGTTTTTAATAGGACACAGAAGAAAGGCTATATATGGCCGTCAAAATAACGATGATTGTGGCCGCTTTTCTGGGTAAAGTCTAGAACTTGGTTGCATTATGTTTTTGCCATTTGGTCAAACTTATTCATCAAAATACTAACCAAAGTTGCTCTCTTTATGTTTTTATCACCTCTTTTTCTCCCTCTTATCATTCTAGTACTCAATTGGTTTCAAATTTAAGTAAAGGTGTTGCTCTCTTATAACTTACAAATTAAGTTGGTTACAAATTAAGAAAAATATATTTAACTAAAATTACTCTCACCGTTTCATTTGATGTGTCACAGCTCACAATCACAAATGTGTTAGAGCTAAAGTCTTCGCTAGGTACAAGATAGAAGTATGTAAAAAAAAAAAAAGGAATAATTAAGGGTAGTTTGCTACGGATGGGTTAGTTTGTGTAATTACTGTGGGCTATAAGAATTTTATTGATAGGTCTACTTTTCCAAATACGAACATGTGTCAATTAAATTACTATTTAACTGATGAAAAACGAAAACATAACGTATTGAATAAGTCTAATATATATATATATATTTAATAATTTGTGTGAAATTTTCAAAAAATTTATATGAATTGAAATGTCCAAAACTTATATTTAAAGTTTACAAGTAGAGATGTTAAAAAATTACATGAACATAAAATGTCCAATACTTCAAACCTTGTATCGTCTCTCTGTGAGTCCGGACTCACATATTATCTACTTGAAATAACTAGGATTAGTTGAACGTGGTTAAATCCAATTTTGTTGGTGAAGTTTTGAGAATTGATACCTATAATTAGTACCAAATATAAGGGTTCAAATCATGTTTACATCATTTTTTCTTCGTAATTTTCTATGCACCAACAACTAATAAAGCTAAAATATATTGATGTAAATTTTAGAGATTATTCTAATTGTTGTTAATACACCACCCCTTAGTGAGAGTAATCGCCTAAATACCTAAAAAGGGTACAATAACTTATCACTAACCCTTTTCACTTTGCCTATTTAGCTTTACTTATTTTTTTCTCCTGAAATAAAGGGAGTACTTCTTTGCTCATTTATTTGTATTTTGTAAGAACATACTTAAATAGGAGCTTAATATAAGTTGTTGCACTTTGCAAGGTACGACTATTTATACGAAATTAAATAAAGCCACTTACAAAATTAAATAAAGCCAAAAACTATCTATTTAATGTATTCCATTGATTGATTCAACTTTAATTGGTTATCTTGCCAATGTTAAATAATTCTATATTCTAGTCATTTTCATTATTAATATTGTATATGGGAGTGTCTTCATCAATAAATTCTAGGAAATCAATGGCTTAAGACCCAAACAATCTTGCAACCAAAAGAAACAAAGATTATATTACATTTGCATTTTCTAATCATAACCATTAGAGGATTAGAGCATACATCAATTTCATCAAGTTGTATTATTATAAAATATACCATTATATATTCCAAATTAATGGGGGTGAATCAACAAATTGGTTAAATGAATTAGAAGTGGCAATAATATGGCGAGCATCAAGAATCTAGTCAACTAGCATATAAATTGAGGAAAAAGCCTTAAAAAAATAAGAAGACGTACGACCCTACATTATCACACACATACAGTTAGTTAAAACAAACCATCACAATCATATTTTATTTTTATTATCAGTCTTGGCTCATGCAGTATATATTCAGTTTACTGACAATTAGAATTATATAAAGTTGATAAGATCTATAACAACAACATTTCCACGTGGAATTTACACTAACATAAGGGCTCCATTTACATAGGTTCAAGTTCATCTTTATCGAGGAAGTAGAAATGGAGGAATGTTAGGTATTTGTTGATACATAATATGTTAATTCGTAAAAACATTAGTACCACTGAGATGTAAAATGTATCATTGTTATTACAATAGTATTATAAATAATTAAAATTACACTAAAGATTGTTACAATGGTATACTTTAGAAGCTAATATATGTACCACTAGGTTGTGAAATTATGCCATTGGAGTGTAATGGTATAATAATAGTTATAATGGTATTAAAATGACTATAGTGGTACAATTAAAACTTGAAAATTAAAGTGATAATATGTAGTCCCATTACCTTTTTGTTATACTAAGTTACCATTATACCCGTATTATGTACCAATAGGTACATAACTTTCCTCTCTTTAAAATGCCTCCATCTCTATCCATCCTTCTCTAGCATATTTTGTTCCTTGTCAATTTACCATAACATAAATAACGTGACTACTGCCTTGGTAGGGTACATAAATGACCCTTTTCCTATAGCATTTTAATGATGTATGGGGGACATATGTTTGCTAGTTTGTCACTCCCAGTCTCCCATGGATTTATTATTGTTCCTCAATTTCAACACGTTTATCGAGAAGCTGAGATGTAGGGCGTGCAACTCGTCTGTATGTTACATTCGGGTGTAACTTTAACATTACTCGAGATGTATTTAATGACATTTGTAAATAAAGATACATATCATGGTTAAAAAAAAAATTAAAGTCAATTCGCATTTAATTTTACATATCTAACCTGAAATAAATGAAAATAAATTAAGAAGAATATAATGTAAGATGTTAAAATAGGATAGATTTAAAAAGAAATAAAAGAGAAACTAATGTAATTAACAACCAAATAAAATGATAGCATTTCTTTACGAACACATGTTGATATGCGTGGTTAAGGAGTATGAAGCTTTAGCTACAATACACATTCTCAGCTCCAATCCAATTGATTCATTGCATTGGAAACCCCAAAACTTGTAGACAGTTTAACAGGATGTTTGATCCCATTCTATCGTATCGTAGGCCTTTCCCATATATTAACTTGTTTTGTTGTTTAATCTTTGAAAATTCTTTAACACTTCTTGAACAATATGGATTTTGTCCTGAATTGATCAGTCTTAGAGTAAACGCATTTTGAAGAGGGCTGATTCTCTAGTGGATAATAGGTTACAACTTACAAGTAGCTTCATAATTGCGTTGCAAATTGTGCTTGCTATACTTATGGGGTGGAAATGGTTTGGACTTTTTAGGAGGTCATATTTGTTGGGGTGTTCCCTCCTACTTAGAGGAAGTAGTCCAATTCATTGGACTAATATAGTGTTATAAGCTATATGGGTTATATAGTTTTTGGGCCCATATGAAGAAATAAGAGTAATGAGTTAATGTGGGGGTTGAAATAGAGTATGACCAGCTGGAAATTAAGAGTGGATAACTGTAGGCATCATTCGAAACGCGCCTACTTGAGCATGTTGTGAATATGCTTAGTAATCATAGGAAGCGGGATTTGACATATACAATTAGGGACAAAAATATAGGGAGCCGCCAACAAGTTTTTAAGGAACTTGTAAACCACGCGTTCACGGATCGTTAAAAGGCAACCACGAAAAGGGACAACGATATGCAACAACAATTGACCCGTGAAGGTTACACCCAATTCATAATCCATGAGATTACTAACTCCATATGGTTCGGAACCACGAATGGAGGGTTGAGGATGATGGTACAAAGTGAGTCATGGAAACCACTTCGCCCGTATTGGCCTCTACTCGATTCTTATAGTGAATAGTATTTCCTGCGATCTCAAAGGCATACAAACAAAGATTCAATCTACTCCAAACTAGATTAGGCTAAATTGGTTGAATATTAATGCACACATAATTCTAAAATATTTGTGATAACTTGATTAAACAACAAGATTAAAAAAGAACCTAAACCGATCGTCCAAATTATCTTATTATGCGTGATTTTAATTACATATTCCCTTTTAGCAGGCAATATGGTGATCAACAATATATTTCGTACCCTCAATAAGATAAAATAAGCAATAAAGACATTGGAATCAATTTAACCATAATAACATCGTTTGTCAAATCAAAGCATAATACTAAACCTAATCATGGTACTAGCAATAAAGATAAGAAGAAGTAATTAATAAATTACTCACGTTGCACGCTTCTTCAAATTGCTACATCATGAATAAATTGTTAGTAACTTCAAGGAATAATAAATCAAAGGAAA